GCCCTTTGCTCACAGATTTTGATTCAGCCTTGTAAAAGAGCCTCATAATCTGCATTTTTATGAAGTACCTCAACTGTATTAATGCTGATCATTACAGCAGCTCAGTCCCAAACACTGAGAAACACACACCATATCTACATGCCCCAAACACTGAGAAGCCACATCTCCATAATCCATTACAAAAAACACCTTAAGAGCAATATTCCTGTGGCCATCTCTAACAATAAAGCCAAGGAGGAGAAATAAAATTAATAATAAAAGTTATTCATAAAAGCTTCAAAATTGAATTGAATCAGGTTGACATCCTACATTTTCTTCAGTTAAAGGTTCTGGCATTGTCAGAGCCTTGGGAAGAACAGAAAACATGCATTGTGGAGGAGCCGGAGGCCGAGGGGTATGTAGTGGAAAGTAAAAAGGAAAGGGAAGCCCAGGCTCGCGATGGCACCATCCTGTTTCAAGCCCCGTTCATATTGTCAAAGGAGGAGATGGCCCTTTGGAACAGGTTCTTTGGCCATCTCTTCACCATAAACTAATCATGCATAGGCATCGCGTGTCTGTTGATAAGAGAATAAGAGGAGACAAAAAGACTCTAAGTAAGGATGCGGTGGTGGTTTTCCTAGATTAATTTTCTCTCTGTGAAATAATCTAGGGTACATCATTTCATCTCCCGTTACCTTTCACAGAAGCAGTCCTTGTACAGTTGTATAAAATGGCAAGTTCCCCAAACGTGGTCCACATGGGGATCGAGGACAGCAACTTCTCCCCTTGGGACACCTCTATGCGGCCCTCTATCAAGTAGAATTCAAAACATAAATAGGCAAAATGTGTCTGGCACTCACAAATTAATAAAAATCATAAGAAAAAACAATCACAAAGCGCATAGGTAAGATAGCTCACTTTCCTCATTACAATACCCCAAACCAGACTCACTGCTATCTAGTCAGTTCTGACTCATAGTGACCCTATAGAACAGAGTAGAACTGCCCCAGGGGGTTTCCGAGACTGTATGTAACTCCTTGCAAAAATAGAAAGCCTTGTCTTTCTCCCACAGAGCAGCTAGTGGTTTCAAACTGCTGACCTTGTGGTTAGCCACCCAACAGGTACCGACTATGCCACTGAGACAGAGTGGTTGAAAGTACAAGCTTCGAGATCAAACGACTTGTGCATTCCTGCTTGTGTCACCCTGAGGAAATGACCCACTGGGCCTGTGCTTCCTCATGGACAATGGGGATAATAACAGTGTTAACTACCTATAGCTGTTTTGAGAAGCGCATCACTTACTCCACACAAATAGCCTAGAGCCAGGTCTAGCATGTTGTAATTGCTGTGTGCTGGATACTCAATTCTGAAGAATTACAACCAAGAGCAGAACTGCCCACAGAATTTTCTCGGCTGTAATTGCACTCTGCTTACATTAAAATTCAGAGCCTTGATATAATATTCACATATCATACAAGAAAACCACTAAAAAAGAGAAAGAAAGAAAGAAAGAAGAAACCAAGCTTGAGCATGGTTATCATGGGTGAAGGAGGAGTTTTTGCTGAGGGGCATGGAGTTTATGTTAACGTGGTGGGATAACTTGGAAAAGGATATTAATAATGGTTGTAAACACGAAGAGTGTAATTAATGGCACTGAATTATATATGTAGAAGTTGTTGTATTGTAGAATGTCATGTTGTGTATATTTTTGCCACAATTAAAAAAATAATTCCATGAATAACAATGACTACAAGGAAGAAGAAAACACTCTAAAATTAATTGTGGTACTTATTATACAACTCTTCTTGATATGATTGAACTAGTGAAAGTGGATGATATGTGAATGAAGTGCCAGTAAAACTGTTATAAACACAAACTCCGAGCTTTGGAACCTAACAGAGCCGTCCATGCTGTCACTCGGAGCCAGCACGAGCTCAAAAGCAGTGGGCTTACTCTTCATGGGAGCAGATCACCAAGTCTTTTCCACAGCAGCACATTGGGTGGGCTCAAAACTGACCTTTCAGTTCGCACTGGTAGGTGATATGTGTTAGCAACAGCAGGGCTTCGTGGGAATTCTCACTTTCCATGTAGGAGACTTGAGTTCAATTCGAACACAAGTACCAAAAGCATAACTCCCACCTCTCTGTCAGGGAAGACGTTTGGGTTGGTATGATGCTGAAGACGTTTGAGCAGAGCTTCTAGACTAAGGCCAGGAAGAAAGGCCTGGTAATCTAATTCCTACAATCAGTGAATGCAAACCCTATGGGTAAAAACCTATGACATCAGCTTGGCATGAGTCATAGGCCAACATAGGACACAAATTTAATGGGACCTAACAACAACCCAAACCTACTACCACTGAGTTGACTCAGATCCATAATGACCCTATAGGATAGAGCAGAACTGCTCCCTAGGGTTTCCAAGGCTATAATTCTTGATAGAAGCAAACTGTCACATTTCCTCCTGTAGAGCAGATGGTGAGTTCAAAATGCTGACTTTTTTGTAACAGCTAGCACTTAAGCACTGCGCCACCAGGGCTCCTCCTAACAGCAACTACATTGTTAATGAATCACTCTTTCCCGGAAGCAGTACATGCTGTTTTGCTTAAGTTAGATCTAATCCATTAAAAATGGTGTGCACAGAACGATTTCTCTTGTGCAATCATTGGGTAATTGACAACACAGCATGGCCATTGGCCTTCATAGGACAACTTGCCACCAGCCACAAGTGCATTGGCTTTGCAATCACACTGCTTGGCTTTGAGAGTCAGCCCTGATCATGACTAGTTTTGTGACCTGGGACAGGCTAGTATGATGACTTAATTTAGGTAAATTAATTAATGAAAACCACTAGAAGAGTGCTTAGCACTAATCTTTATCTAAGCTAAGATGGAGGAAAGACACAATTCTTTTGCCTTGGCAAATCTGTTCTCTCCTACATCAGGAGGAATGAAAACAAAATCTTAGCTACCTACAATCATATGCCTCAAAATTCTGAATTCCAAGACTTGGAGGGGTAAAGTGTCTACCCTTGATGAAATAAGGTTGTTTCCTTCTCCTAATGTACCACTAAATAGCTTTGCCACATCTGTCCATTCATCCATTCAAAAATTTTCATCTCAGTACTTTGCACCCAGAGCTGTTCCAGGTACCAGAGACACTGAGTGAACAAAAAAGAAAATATATTGTTCTTATGTAATTTATATTCTGGTGAGAACTAAACACGGTTTTGGCTCCAAATCCTAAAAATTAGATAAGCAATTTAATAATTTCTCATTGTAGCTAAATTCTATTCTATCAAAACCACTTAGTGGTACTGCCGAGTTTGTATCATGGCTTTTCTTGTTCTGTTATCTAATTGGTTATGGCTCCTGGGGCTTGCCGAATATTGAAGAATTGTATGAAACAGCAAAAGTTTAAGTTAAATAGACTTTCACAATTTGCTATTCACACTATGCTATAATTACATAAAGGGGAGATTTTTAATTTCCAAATTAATTTATTCAATCAGATAATTAAACCAAGTAATTCAGTCCTTAAATAACACCATAATGAATCCAAATCATAAACTGTCTGATTCTCATTTCCATATATGCTCCACTCTGCTGCTACTGGATTGCCTACTGCTCAAGCCTTTCATCAAAGGGACTGACCAGGGACAAGATGGGCTGATCCTTTCCTAGCAGGTTCCATAAATGTCTACTGACTTGATGGCCCATCCTCTCTTGCCAGAATGCTCTCGTGTAACTACATTAGAAGTGAAATGCCCAGGAGATCAGTTGCAAGAGGGAAAAAAAAATCACTCTAGATCATCAGTCCTTAAAAACGTGAAGGCTGGAAAATTTAGAGTATGACTCATTTCTTAGGTAGAGCAACTACTGAGAGTGACTGTTCGATTTAAAAGGTACCTACAAAGATGTACATGACAAAGGATGCATCAATTATCACGTGTGCTAAAAAGTCATGTTTAAAGAATCACTGGATGTGCTTGCTATAAACAGGACAGTATCATTGGAATGTATGCCCCACCTAAGGCCCCAAGGACACAAGAATAATAAAAACATTGCTTAGATTCTCAGGATCTGTAAAGTAAAACAGGAGCCTTGGTGGCTTGGTGGTTAAGCGCTTGGCTGCTGAACAAAACATCCAAGGTGTGAGCTCACCAGTTCACTCCACAGGAAAAACATGGCAGTCTGCTTCCATAAAGATTTATAGCCTTGGTAACATTATAAACTTTATTCTACTGTCATACAGTGTCACCATGAGTCAGAATCAATTTAACAGCAATGGCAATAGTGTAAAATTAAAGGCCACAGCACATTACAAGTTACTATTAAATTTGGTAAGCTAATTTATCTTTTTCCCTAAAGCTCTGTCTGACAGTTGAGACAACTCAAAAATTCACAGGGCATTTTAATATCTTCAGAATCTGTTCAAAGACTCTCTTGCTTCTCTATTTTTCTGTATGTAGGTATATATCCTAAATTCCAAATTTACTACCATCGAGTCAATGATGACTCATAGCAACCCACTGTGGGTTAACAAGACTGTTCCTGTTTACAGGAGTAGAAAGCCCTGCCATTCTCTTGGAGAGTTGCTGGTGGTTTTGAACTGCTGACCATGCGGCTCACAGCCCATCTTATAACCACTACACCAACATGGCTCTATCTCTCTTGCTCTGTGTGTATATGTATATATGTATATGTATATATATATAATGCTTACTATTTAAATAAATATTAAATAGTAGCCATTATAATACAAATTTGAGAACTAAATTTAAGTATGTATAAGTGATCATCAATGGAGGAAACCATCAAAAAGTATTAAAAGAAAATCAAATAATGCTAATCATAAATTATTTCACTTGACTTTTCTATTGGTTAAATGTACCTAAATTATCTAGTTAAAGCACTAGTATGTAACCAAACTATTTTACAAACACACAAAATAAGTGTTTAGTTCCAGCTACCTAAAAGAAGTCAACATAAACAGTATTTTGAATGAAAAGATCTCTTCTTCGTTGTTAAATGAGCAGAGTTGTAATTATAGTGTGGACATTGAGTCAGCCTGCCTAAGTTTCTGTTCTCTCCATGGATAACTGGCGGAGCTTTCGCTAAGTTACCTAACCTTTCTGTGGCACAGTCTACAGTAGCAACAAGGAGACAGTAACAAACTGTGACACACAGGACTCACGGACACCCACTCTGTGTCACAGTACAACTGTTATTCAAGGGTTTTCAATGGTTGCTTTTTTGAAAAGAAAAAAAAATTCCTGGAAGATCACCAGGCCTTCTTTCTGAGGCTCTTCTGTGTAGACTCAAACTGCTAACCTTTTGGTTAACAGCAGTGAGCTTACCCATGTGTGCCACTAATGGAATGGAGGAATCACTTACTATTAAGTATTATCATCATGAGTTGAATACTGACATGGCTATTTCGTGAACTCAATCTGTTAACATTTCTACAAATAGAGCAATCAGTGGTGTATTTTTATAAATATTTGGGGAAAACCCTAAAGAAAGGGGGAAAATATTTGCAGTATAAACATTTGAAAAATCTGTGGAACCCACCTGCCAGCACAAAGATATGGTTTCCAGGTTCCCCTTGCTTAATAATGTAACTTCCCTGCTGGTAGTTTCTCCCATACATGCATTCCACCATGTCTTTGATCTGCTGGGGGTCCAGTCTCTTCAGAAACTGATTCTTATTTAGGGCATCTGTAATGAGCTTCTTCTCACTGGTAGAATGGATAAAGAAGAGGTTAGTTACAGTTAATGAATATCTTGATTCCTTATTTAGATTAGCTTCATTCTGATACTTGGTATTACTACCTAGATACTTATTGCTTTTGCAACAAGGGAAAAGATTGTTTCCCGTACTGCCACAAAACAACATATCCTTTTAATAATCACATCTTACATGTGAAACACTCAAAAATATGTATCTAATAATCGGTGTTGTTGTTGTTAGATGCCATCGAATCAGTCCCTAAGCATAACAGCCCTATGTACCACAAAACAACACTACCCGGCCCTGCACCATCCTCACAATTATTCCTATTGCTCGAGCCCGTTGTTGCAGCCACAGTGTCAATCCCTCTCTCTGGGGTCATTGAGGGCCTTCCTCTTTATTGCTGTCCTTCACTTCAGCAAGCATCATCATTGGTCCACCAATGTCGTTATCCCCTCATCTTCATCAGCACAAAAGTAACCTTCCTCGAGCTTGCCAGATGCACTACTGGAGGACACTGGTATCTGGATGAAAAGCATCTCCATCTGACAGGAAGAAGTTCTCTTCATGGGACTACAACCCAGCAGACTCTCATTGATGCACACATGAGCACACAATGACGGTGGTACTAGGTCTTTATGTACTCTTCAACACTGTACACTAGGTAACTGTTATAGCTGTTTATGGATAGCCCAACTGAAATTACGGAGTAGGGCAATGTATCTACCATAGGATTCTAAATCAGTGCGTCCAAAGCGTGCGATGCACCCGTTGCATCCTCGTGCCTCTGCGGAGGTGAAGAGTGCATCTTACTGGGAGGGCAGTACGTCTCATCAGACAGAGAAATGGCTGGCGCAGGTACGTCTTTCTAAGAGTTCATGCTAGGTATCTGTAGGCTAGATATGACCAGTGTTTCCGTTATCAGAGTCGATTCATTCTCAAAATCCAAAGCCCACTTTGTCTATCCACAACCCTAAATACCCTAATCTCTTTTGGAAAAGAAGCAACTCCAAATAAACACTCACCAATATTCACTAGCAAAAAAGTAAAATATTATATTTAACATGTTTATATGTGGACAACATAGACTTATAAGCTGGAGGAAAAATTATCTTGTGGTTCAAGTCAGTCTTTGACAATATACTTACTTTTACTCGTAAAATTAGCGTACTTTACCATAGCTTTTTCCATGCTTTCCATTAAAACTATCCCATTTCTAATTTTATTGTTTGAAAACTGGTCATTTTTTATATGAAAAGGTTTTCTAGCCCAAAGTAAAACTTAATGGAATCAGATACTTCTTTCAGGACCTCATTCAACAGATCAGTAGCTTACAGGACGGCAACAATGAATTTCTTTTTCTTTACTGCAAGTCCATCAACCCAGAGTCATCAGAACTCTTGGAGTACCTTGAGAATTCCCTGCTGCTGTCACCCCATCTATTACCAAATCTTGAGTTTGCCCTTTAAAATTACCATTGAAGAGGAATATAATCACATTCATCATTAAAAATGTCATTTCAAGATCTATCCTAAAGCAAAATGCTGTTAGAAGCAAATACTGTCCATACACCTATGAGTCAACACAGTTAATACGATTAATATTAAATTTACACATCAAACACTCATGTCAAAGATGAAGAAATTGAAGATTTTTATCAACTTTCTGTAATCCAACATTGATCAAACATACAATCACAATGCATTGTTAATACCTGGTGACTGGAATATGAACATGGGAAACAAATAAGAATGATTGATACTTGGAAAATATAAAATTTATGATGGAAATAACACTAGAAATCACATGATAGATTTTTTCAAGACCAAGGACCTATTCATAAAAAACACCCTTTTCAATAAATAGTGACTATAAAGGTAGACCTACAGGAATCAAATCTTCTACATCTGTGAAAAGCGATAATAGAGGAACTCAGTATCATCATTCATAACAAGGTCAATGGCTGACAGTGGAACAGCCATTGCTTATAGGCAAGTTCAAGTTGAAGCTGAAGAAAAAATTTTAAAGACCATGAGAGCCAAAATGCAATCTTGAAAATATCCCTTACAATTTCAGAATTCATCTCAAGAACAGTTTGGGCACATTCAGCATTAATGACCAAAGACCTGACATCACAGACGTCATACATGAAAACACAAGTTATTGAAAACACAAGAAAGAAAGAAAAGAGAAAAATGGATGCCTAAAGAGACACTGTGAAACTAGCTCTTAAATATTGAGTAGCTAAAGCAAATGGAAGAAATGATAAAGGAAAATCGTTGAAGAGAAGATTTCAATGATTGGCTTGAAGAGACAAATCGAGTAGTACAATGAAATGTGCGAAAACAAAGCCAAAAAAACATGTGAAGTTAGAAAACCAAAAAGATATAACACAATTGGCAATTCTCAAGCTGAAAGAACTGAAGAACGCATTCAAGGCTTTAGTTGCAATATTGAAAAATTCTATGGATAAATATGATCATGCTACATGCATATATTGGTCTTTCATGTGTTAATGTTTTGTACATTTATGTGGACATCTCACACATTTTTGTTAAATATACCTACTCTTGTATAGCTGAGGCTCTGATTCCATTGAAAATAATGTCATTTACAATTATTTCAATGAGAAAAGTTTGAAGATATCAGAAATTTCATTTTACTTGGAATCACAATCAATGCTCATGGAAGCAGCAGTCAGGATACCAAATGGAGTATTGCCTTGGGTGAATCGGCTGTCCAAGATCTCTAACATTTAGGAGAGCAAGGACCTCACCTTTAGGATGAAGGTGTGCCTGACCCAAGTTGTTACCACAACTTCACATGCATGTGAAAACTGGACATTCAATAAAGACAACGGAAGAAACACTGATGCCTTTGAATGATGGTACTGGTGAAGAATATGGTAAGCACCATGGGCTGCCAAGTGCGGCCAGAGTATTCTGTAGAAGCCAGGATGGTGAGACTTCATCTGACAGACTTTGAACATGCCATCAGGAAAGACCAGTTCCTGAATATGCTTCTTTAATTGGAAAGGCTGCAAAAGAGAGTAAGTTCCGCAAGGAGATGGATTGACACAGTAGCCGCAACAATGGGCTCAAACATGAATTGTTTTCACAGGTTTTCTGCATTTGGCAGGGTGTAGTTTTACTATTGATCCTTTAAGAGGAAATATAATCAATGTTATATGTAATATAATAAGAACAATTGTCTGACACATACATGTATTGAAGAAATCCTACGTTAGGATTCCAAGAGTAGGAAATGACCAGCAAAAATATTGAGTCATGCAGGAAGCATCAAAAGGAAATGGGAATAATACACAGAGTCATCATACCATAAGGATCTGACTGACATTCAACTATTTAGGAGGTAGATATTTATGGGGAAAGTCCAATTTGCATTGAAGGCATTGGAAAACAAAAACAAACAAAAAAAACAGGCTCCATGAATAGACAGAATGCCAAATGAGATGTTTCAAAAGAGAGATGCAATGGTGGAAGTGCTCATTCATCTATCCCAAGAAAATTGAAAGACAGCTACCTAGCCAACTGATTGGAAGAGATCCATATGTGTACCTATTCCAAAGAAAGGTGATCCAGCAAAATATAGAAATTACTGAACAATGTAATTAATATAACACACAAGTAAAAATTTACTGAAGACTATTTTTAAATTGAAGCAATAAACCAACAGGAATCTGCTAGAAATTCAAGCCAGATTCAGAAGAGGGCTTGAGACAAAGGAAACTGTTTCTGATGTCAGATGGATAGTGGCCGAGAGCCGAGAATGCCAGAGTGATGTCCGTTTGTGTTTTGTTAATGATGCTAAGATGCTAAGTCATTCAACTGTGTGGATCATAGCAAATTATGTATACTATGGGGAAAATAGATGTCCCTGAAAACTTGATTGCAATCTGTGGAACTTGAATGTAAGCAGACCAAGAGGTAGACCGAACAAGAGGATACTGCTAGGTTTAAAATCAGGATGGCTATGTGTCAGTAGTGTAGCTTGTCATTATATGTATTTGATGAGCATGCTGAACAAATATCGGAGAAGTTGTACTGCATAAAGAAGAATGCAGCCTCAGGGTCTGAGGAAGATTCCTTAACAAGCCTGTTTACTGAAAGTGAAATGAACTGCAGTGAAATGAACTGCAAATGCGCTTACTTAAAAAGACGAAAGACTGATGGTTTTTATCTCAGCATAAAGATGACAGAAACCCTCCCAAATTGACCAATAAGTAATATTATCGACACCAACAAAAAAGATTGATATGGTTATTTGACATTGTGGATCCTTTTACTTGGATCCACAATCAGCAGCAGAAAGCAACGTGAAATGACGTATTGCCGCAAAAGAACTCTTTAATGTGTGAGAAAAAGCCAAGCGATCCCCCTGAAGATTATAGTGCACCTAACCGAAGCCATGACACTTCCAATCAGCTCATTCACATATAAAAGCTGTACAATGAATAACGAGGAACAAAGAAGAATTGATACCTTTGAATTATGTGTTAACAAAGAATATTCATTATATCATGAACTACCAGATTCAGCATTGACTCGATGGCAGTGAACTTGGTTTCTTTGAAGGAATCCTTGGCAAACTGAGACAAGCGTATTACTTAGTGAATCTGCAGCCACCACTGATCTCAGAGACATGTTTAAATGGAATGAATCAGAAACCTAGTATTAAAACTTTTTTCTTTTTGTTTAAACCTATCCTCCTAGAATTGGAAGAGTTGGTGCAAACTCTTAATACATTAGTTCCTAACAAAAGGGCAGTTAGTTCAACACTACTCAAAAAGAAAAATCTATCAATCTACTTCTCAAAAAAACAATCAGGTGAACATCCTGGAAACACAGTTGTCTGAGAGATATTGGGTCGCCATGATTCAGAGTGGAGCTGAGAGCCACATTAGCTGGGCTTTGACTTTGGGGGGTGGTTGAAAAGGTCTAGTAACATTGAGAAAACAGGAGGGTGCTGGCAAGACTTTGTTCCGTT